CCCAAGGCCTTTCTAGATGGGTGGCAGCAAGTGAAGCCCAGAGGCTTGCTGTATTGATGGCGTAGCTCTAGTGTTGCTGGAAGAAAGATGGGGCTTTCTACTCCCGTGCAGTGGGTTGTCTTGACTGCCGGGGGCGGTTGGGCTCTGTCCTGTAGGGCGGCTCTGAGTGGGAATGGACTCTATGGCAGTGGGAGTTTTTATCGCCGATTTTGATTTGATTCTCTGAAAAGGTGAAACTCTTGAGGCTTTCCAAAACCAGACAAACAAAATACCAAAATACATCTTTCTTTGATTTGCTTGGTAGTTGTGCTTCGGGAAAATTCAGTGTATGTAGACCTGCCGCATAATAATCCTACTGCCATTAAGTGGGTTCACTTCAGTGCGACAGATAAGACACAGCAGAACTTCCCCATAGGTTTTTGTTTTTTTTAGAAAGCAGGCTGCCACATCTTTCTCCCGTGGAGTGGCTGGTGGGCGCCAATGGCCCCTCTTTTTTGGCTGCCAAGCACTTTGACAACTAGGCCACCAGGACTCATGGTAGCTGGTCAATAAATATTCAAGTAATAAAACAACGGAAAAAGAAAGCATGTTTTTATATGGGACTGTAAACCCACATTATAAGCACTTTTTCATGGTAATGGATGGAGCGGGAGTGGCGGGGTGGGGATCTCTCTCCCAGAAGAGATTTAGGTGGTGCCTGGCTACCACTACCGAATGCTCTGAAAAGGGTGACATGTGCAGGTCCTGGCTTGAGTGGGAGAAATGTGGAACAGAACTTCAGACTCTGAAAGAGACCAGGCTCCTTGGTCAGTTAGAAACTGGGGGACCCTCCACAAAACTGCGGATCTTAGTCACCATTCCAGTCTGGAAATGAACTCAACCTCAGCTCTCTATTTTCAGGTACACTAACACGAATGAGTCAACACCGTTTAGAATTAGCAACCATTTGTGATCCGAGGGGCAGCATTATCCCAGGACAAAGTTGGGAAGGGTCAGGAAAAGAATGAGGATCCTAACAGGGGAGGAGGAAGTGGGCTAAGAGAGGGGGCTGCAGTGAAATGGGCGCACGGATGGTTAGAGACAAACCTTCACCCAATTCCGCATAAAAAGTTTCTTCTTAAGTCTCTCCCCTGCTTTCTCTCCTCTCCCCACACCACCTTTTCCTTCCGCCCCGCCCGTCCCCCACCGCCCAGTGTGTAGAGGAAACATGTAGTTTGGGCTCCAAACGCTGGAAGGGACACTATCCTAGGAAGGACTAGAAATAGCTCCCTACATTTCCCAAACTCCTCCTAGGTGTTGATCCCCCAGAAAACGGGCGGCCCGAAGAGTGGGGCGTCCCGGGATCAAAACAAAGGCGGCCCCTCCCTCTTCTCGGAAAACACCAGCCTTCAGAGAAGGGAAACTGGGCGCAGGAAGGCCCGGTCTCTAACTTGAATCAGCGCTTCTGCCCGGAGACAGGTGACGCGGCCTCGGGAACTCGGGTTGTGATTGGGCCGTTGAGAAACCGTAGAAGCGGACGAAAAGGGGGGGAAAGCCGGAGCTTGACGTTCTCCAGTCGGTGGGCATTGGTGCCACGACGTCCCTCTTCGTGGCGTTGGCTCTGCCCTCTGGCTTGCCGCCACCAGCCCGGGCGTGACCACCGTGAGTGTCCCCTTTCTCTCTCTCCACTGCTTCTTCCCGGTCCTGCCCCCAGCCCCCTTGCCCGGGGCCGGTCCCGGTCCCGAGCGGCCTGGCCCTGGGTCCGTGTCACTGGGCTCCGCAGAGCGGCCGCTGGGGTGCACGCTCCTGCCCTCTCCTCGCCGAGGCCTGCGGCATAGACAGGGCGGAACCGAACAAAGTGTCTAGGTCACCCGTGAGCTGGGGGT